CTCCACGCAACGCGTGGACATTCCCTAGTTTTTATGGATTTTTCGGTTTATGAAATGAAACAAAATTAAAACAGAATTGAAAAGGGATATAGATTGGATTGATACAACCTTTGATAGGAGCTTTTAAGCTCTGATACCAAATGATATAAGATTGGATCCAACAAACTTATGTTCATGAGATAATAAGAGTTTACAAGTTTTCTTGCGGAAATGGGCGTGATGTTGAGATGGAAGGTGGTAGTTTGATTGACTCTCTCAATCGATGGGGTGATTGATTATCTCAATCAGTGAACGAAATAGATTGTTTGAATCACACAAACAAGCTAAGTCGCAGCCTCTAAAGATTTAGGTGAATCGCATACTTAAATCTAAAGAAATAACAATTCGTCAAAAAAACATACTTAAAAGAAAAGAATAAAATATTTTGATTAATTCTGGATTGAAAGGTGATTACATATGAAAGACTAAAAGAATTTATATAATGCTCAGATCATAAACAAGCCAACCATAAACAAGCCAACCGTAATAAAACTAAATGAAAAACAAATAATTTATCATAAATATGGAATATGGCCGTTGGAGAGGATTCCAACTTGGGAAAGGTGATTGGATGCTTGATATTTTAATGTGATAACGGTTGGAGAAGTATTTTCTCTGATTTGGAGTCCAATGCTGCTAGTGGGCTAATTCTTCCATAAAATGGCATTTGTTTTGCTTGAAGCCCAATAAAATATTTTTTGTTGGTGTTTTATTTCTATAGAAAACCAAAAAGAGAAAAACAGAGATAATACACGGTTTGAGTCGGCACACAAATATAACGAACGTATTTGGTGGACTCTCTGGCACGTGGTTGCCACTCTTTAGGCCCCTTGACCACCAAATATATATTGTCATAGCAAAGGAGTTATGTATTATTATGGAGTCCCCCTACAAAATCGAACACTCTTATTCAGTGGCCTACCTTCGTTCATCATAAGACCATACTTGTTGACGAAATTGCCTAATCTTCAACTAATCATTCCCCTCATTCCTATTGGTTAATAACATATCAATTGGTTAAACAAACCGATCGGTTTGCTCAGTTCGGTTAAATAAGAGAATTTTGTAGAAGCTTCGAAAACGCCGCGTTAAGCTTTAGGGTTTATTCTGCTATGTGGCTACCCACTTAAGTCTCCAGTGTACCCCTTTGGTTTGCCCTATTTCCCCTTGTTTTTGCTTTTCCTCTTCTCCAAGGAATCTGGAAAAATAAACCCTTTCTCAATCAGAGACTCGATCGAAAGCCCTTTGATTCATCAAATCAATCTTCTTACCGAGACAGAAGAAGCTGATGGTCGAGGCAGAGCGGTCGGACAATCTATGGGTTTCTTCCGAAATGCCGTCGTCGTCTCCGGCGGCAATAGATGGCCGTGAGTTTTCGACCATTGATTCGATTACAGGAATAAGAGATGTGAGAGGATTTGGTACCCTCCGACCGCAGATAGCTTCCCGGCCTCAATTGGACATGGGTTCGTCGGAGGAGAAGCTAGGGTTCACGGAAAGAGTTTTCTCAGCCGCCGGTGCTGCGTTTTTGTCCGCCGTTATTCTAAATCCTCTCGACGTTGTCAAGGTAAGCTTTTTTTTTTTAATCGCCGGGAAGTTTTTTATGTTTTACCGGTGAGAGACTTATGTTTCTGTTTTATCAGACTCGATTGCAAGCTCAAGCCGCCGGAGTTTCTTACTCTCACCCACTCAGTTGCTCCATTGGCCGCATGGCATTCTTTGGACCAAACATGGTATGTGTCTCAATTCTGTTTTTTTGTGCTTGAAAGGTGAATACTTTTCGACATTTGACCACTCAGTTGTGTTTGAGTCTATGTAATTCTTTTTCCTTTATGCGTTCAGATGTTTGCAGATTTGAGATGTTCTCCTTCATGTTCACGCGCTGGTGTTCATGGTACTGTCTCTATTTGCCCGCCGGATTGTTTCCAGTACAAAGGGACATTTGATGTCTTCACCAAGATCATACGACAGGTGAGTCTCACTTTTTAGTCAAAACAACAACTACAACACATCTCTGCATCTTTTTGTTAGTCTTGCAGTGTTTAAGAAGAGGATAATTAGCTATTTGATGGTATTTTTGTATGTGGAATGCCTGTTTAGATAGAATCTTCCTATTTATCTATTCCCTAACGCAACAACTGACGCAGGAGGGCATGGCACGTCTGTGGAGAGGAACTAATGCTGGTCTTGCCCTAGCTGTGCCCATGGTATATACTCTCTTATTTAGATTTCCAAGATTTTCTTTGTTTGGATAAACTATGGATCTGTGAACTCTCAAGTTTCTGCACAGGTTGGGATTTATCTCCCATTTTATGATATGTTTCTCAATCGGCTGGAAGAATTGTTTCGGGAGAATGCACCTGCTACCTCAGACTATGTGCCTCCTCTTGTGGCAGGGGCATTAGCGCGGTCTTTAGCTTGTACAGTGTGCTATCCTATTGAACTTGCAAGAACCCGTATGCAGGTAGGTAAGCTTTGTTGGCTTGTACTTCGCCTGCATATGTTCTTGTGACTCTAGAATCTGTGTTATGCTTTTCAGCAAGACCTTTTTTTGTGGTGTACTTTTTTCGTGACCTGCTATTCATATTCTATTTACTGTTTTCTCTAAGCAGGCATTCAAAGAAGCAAAAGCTGCTATGAAGCCTCCAGGAGTTTTTAAAACTCTAGTTGGTGTAGTCTCTGAAGTGAGAACAGCTAATAACCTTGAAAATAGTTGTAAGTTGCTTCTTCCTTCTTCATAAGCCTCATTAATGGTGATAATTTGGGATCAAGTCGAAACTTCCCGCTCTTATGTACACCTCTTCACTGGCAATCGCAACCTGAGATGCATGCATATCAACAGTGACACCAAAAGTCAGGCTTATTTAATGAGTTTTTGATATACATGTTCCCTGTGGCAGTGCACAACTATCGTGTTCTCTGGAGAGGCTTGGGTGCTCAGCTTGCCCGTGATGTTCCATTCTCAGCAATCTGCTGGGGGACCCTCGAACCAGTAAGCTCTTTGACATGTTTTAAAATGCATAGAGATGTTCATAAGGCATTCTATGCCATAAAATATTTACTCTAGATGGTGAATTTGTTTAAACCCTTTGGTACAACAGATGAGGAGGAGGCTTCTTGGAGTTGTGGGCAATGATACAAACGCTCTTGGTATTCTTGGTGCAAACTTTTCTGCTGGTTTTGTAGCCGGAAGTATCGCTGCTTCTACTACTTGTCCTCTTGACGTTGCAAGAACAAGAAGACAGATAGAGGTGTGTCTGCTTTGCAGCTTTTTTCTTCCAGAAAATTTGTCTATATACGTATAATACTGATATTTTTTTTTGGAAATCCATGAATTCAGAAAGACCCTGGTCGGGCAATGAGAATGACAACGAGACAGACACTAATAGAGGTTTGGAGGTATGTATCCCTGCGCTTGAAAGAAACCTTTTTTAGCTTTGTGTTTTGCTTTGAAACAAGACATAACATCATAACATTTACAGGGATGGTGGGATGAGAGGACTGTTTATGGGAATGGGTCCACGAGTGGCGCGTGCAGGACCATCGGTAGGGATAGTGGTTTCCTTCTACGAGGTGGTCAAGTATGTTCTGCATCGTCCATACGCTTCATCATGACCCGACAAAGTAACTTGTCACACATGAATGTGGATACCGCTTTTTAGGTTATAGCTTTTCTAAACTCAACAAATAAGCTTAAACAGGCTCCAACCCTTGCCGGAATTTTGTCCAGTTATTTAATACCGGCTGTTAAATCTGGTTTTCTCCGAGTTCGGTTTGTTTAAGGGTCGAGTAATCAGTTTGAAGTGAATCTGACGCTACAAACATAAAGGAGGAGAATCATGGCGAGAATCATAAGCAAAAAGATTAGAGATGAAGAAGATAGGATTGAGGAGAGAAGTGTGTGTTGGTTGTTTGTTTCTCATGATCCAGTATTTTTTTTTTTTGTCATCTAAAAATTTTATTAAAACCAAGTATAATACATGGTCGAATACCGGTTATAATACAAGAGTAAACTATGAGGTAGAATATGAGAATTAAAATCTCAACATCGATAAAACATTTATACAAAGTGACACAGATGTTTAGAAAACTAGCATCTCAAACGAAAAAGAGGCAAACCAAAGATGACTGATGCAGGAAGAATTAAAAGACGGACAACCACATAGCCTTATTAGTCTTGAAAGAGAGATAACAGACATAATCCCAATCTATTGCTCGTGCCCCACTCTTATTTTTATTGAGATAGGGTGATATCAGGGAAAGAAGACCCGATCAAAATCTTGCCAAAAAACTCTGGTTAAGCATTGAATTTAAAACCAAAGATCAATAGCCCATTGATTGTCTATAACTCTAATCTTAGGTCTCAGCCGTATCTTTAATCCTAAAAAAATTAGCAACCAAAGCAAACATGTACAATGCTTACACAACCAAAAGCAAGAACAAACCCAAAACTTACAGATATAACCAAACAACACAACAACACCGTCAAAACCCCTAAGGCCGACAATTCTATCCTTAGACAAGAAATCAGCCAAACTTGCATTATGCTGCACTATGCGAATAGGAAAACGGAGAAAGAAACTCGCTGAGACCAACCAAAAGCGAATCTGCAATCACCAACGAGAAGGTGAACCGCACCACAAGCAACAATCCCTAAATCTCAATAGATATGAGCTGAACAAATTGGATACCGGTTGAGGACGACGGCTACGAGCCAGTCCACCACCCAAGACCTCGAGGACACCTACCCACCCTGCACAATCCTAACCATAGCCAAAGATCTTAAACTTATACCCACTAGAAAAGACATCGAAGAAATCTAGGAGCTGCCGAAAACTAAAACAAGGAGCTTAATATACACAAGCTTCAATGGCGTGCTGAGAAAGCCACCGGCCGACGGAGCCAATCTTGCCAAAAAACAAAGAGGAGAACTATAGCAGGGGAGGAGACAATGAGAGAGAGGACCGTTGATTAAATATCCTCATGATCCAATATCTTTCTATTTCCTTTTTGCCTCTCTTCCTGCTGCTTTTAAATCCCACCTGACATGTTTATACAACATCATCATTTATTTATAAGAATAATATTTTATTTTATGCGTTAAAATAACCTTCAAATTTCTTGTCTCATCTACGGATTATGCTAATTGCTGTGGACATATATGGGTCTGAATGTTCATTTCTACATTTAATGCTTTAAAATAACCTTCAAATTTCATTTAATGCTTTACGCTAATTTCATTTTATGCTTTAAAATAACCTTCAAATTTCTTGTCTCATCTACGGATTACACTAATAAGTGCTATGGACATAATCTTCACATTATTGACTCTTTTTCCTTCAATATCTGCGTCAGAAACGTGAGCAATACACCCTTTTTTTTTTGGACACAATCTGAGCAATACATCTTAGGGGATAAGGTAAGCAATAAAATTTTGACGTTGTTGATTTGCCATGCGTGAGAGACGACGATAGGCAACTTTCATTGTGTCTCATGGAGAGAAAACAAACTCAACCGTATTGAATCACTAAGTGTACACAATCACGGCAAGAAGACAACGCAAGCATTTTGGAAACCTAATGCAAAGATGGCTTCACTAAGTGTTCAGGCAATCTCAGAGCGATAATTTT